TATGGCTAAACTGATTGTCCTAGCTTGCATTTGCTTTCATTTTACAGACATTGCTGTTTTAGCTAATAGCAGTGATGCAAAAGTTTCTGCCACTGCTGAACAGATCAATAATAGTAATTAAAAGTAGATTACACTTACAAGGATTCTGTGCCTTAATATGTCCTGCACAGATCACTAAATTTTAAAGGCCACTGGGTCATGTAGTCTTACATTATTAAACAACAGATAGGATTTCAGAGTTTTAGCTCATTTAAATTTGTCTGCTTTCACTTCTAGCCAGTGGCTCATGAGAATTAGTTTTTGCAGGAAGGATGATCTTTTATACAACTCATTTGAAAACCATCTGTTTGGCTATCTGTGTGCATTATCCCAACATCCCATCCCATTCTTTGCAATATTTGCCATGTCATCCTATGGCCATATCTTTGGCAGAGATGTGCTAAAAGTTCTGGGTTTTCTTTCATTATGAACTCATAAATTCATGAAAACAAGGGGAAATTGCCAGGATTGCCAGGAAAAAAAAAAATACAGTGTACCAGTATCCTCCAAATATCAAAATGGGAAATTTGAGGAAGCAGTTTCCACTCAGCCAAGAGCTTGTCCATCCACCTAGTCTTGGAAATACTTAAGCTGTGCACTAAATTTCAGAAGCTCAAATGCAGCCCTCAGCAGCACCAGATTGGAGTGCCCTTATCTGAGTGGTAGCACCTGGGGTGCTCCCAGCACCGGGGCACTCTTCCAATAGCATAGCTTCATGTGGGACTAAGAGCCAAACACCTGCACAGTATCCTCATTTCCCTGGGAAGTAAATCCACACATCAGTTCCCAAAGGGAATTTTAGAATGGCTTGACCACATCTGAACATGCAAAAGGGTCCAGCGTCATTGGGCACACTGTAAATCCAACCATTGCAGATTGAACCCAGCCTGACTCTAATATTGTGGCTTGTATGGAATGAGTGGTTGCCCACACTGTAACCAACCTTTTGGTAGCCCAGACCAAGAGAGGCTGGATATTTATCTCTCTCAAATAAGCAGACCACACAAAAAGGCTAAGCTTCCAGGTAACTTCATCTTCTAGCTTCAGAAGAAGGAAGTCATGAGTTTAGAAATATAAGTGACTGTATACACACCAGTGGAAAGAATTGGTACATACAGTTAGGTACTCAGGAAAAAACAATAGCATTCCTTCATATGACATAGAACTCCAAGCACTTGGACCAGACTTCCAATTTGACAGGCTTTATTTAAATAAGCGTTACGACAATTGGGATTTCACATGACCAAAATCTTGGAATCTGAATGCCTTACCTCCCCCATTAATGAGAACTCCTCCCCTACCCTTTCTTTTTTTCCTTACATAAAAGGAGAGACAAACAGATAAGAACCTTCAAACTAAACCTGAAATTTCACACAGTTCTTTTTCTTCCAAAAACAAGAAGAAAAAATACAGCCTAGTTTCAGAGACTCTGAGCACACGCACCTCATTCTGGTTCATATCTTGGAAATTGGCTGGGTTCCTCAGCATGCCTGACTGTGTCCCTTCCTCTACCTCTGTATACAAGAAGTTTTCTGTATGGTTTTGCTTTAGCCAGCACGTATTTCCGTGCAAGTAATGTTTCCCAATTAGAAAAAACACCATGCATTTTCCAGATTTCTAGGACTATCTCATCCTATCAATTTTCTTAAATAAGGCACGTATCCCACTAAGGCTTTCACTTTCCTCTCTCTTAGCTTATTCTTCTCCGACCTATTCTACCTTGTTTTCCTACCCTCTCAATACCACTTAGCCACTTAATTCCTTATCCATCACATCAATTTATATCACTCTAAGCTTTGTAAGATCTCTCTCTCTCTCTCTCTCTCATTACCTTACCTTTTCCCTTCCTTGTCATGCATCTAAATCCCTCAGAGCAGAATATAACAGCCTGGCCCCGTAGCTCTAGTCATAGGAACCTACACTTCTAATTCCACATCAAATCAACATAGTTCCCATGATTCTCAATGTGCGTATCATAATCCTTTCCGCTATACCCACCTACTATGTCCACTCAACAGCAAAATAACTTTGTTTTGCAGTCATGCTTACCTCAGGTGGAAATTTCACAAGACTCCAGCTTTGGCCTAATGTTCATGATGGGAATGACACTGCTCCTACTCCAGCCAAGGCTGCTTTTGGAGAACTCCAACCCTCAAGCAAGGAAACTCACTTTTTTTTTCCCCCACTTTCATTTGTTTAAACTTTCTATTTCTTTCCTTAATTCTGACTTCATAAAATAGCACCTGGGTACACCAGGCAACTTTCACAACAACCCAGCCTCTGCACAAGTAACTTCAAGCACCGATACATGAGCACAGGCTAGCAAACACAGACACTGAAGTAGCTGATGCTGAACTATCAGCTTATGTTTTATTATGTCTGAACCAAAGCCAAATCCACATGTGCTATGAACTGAGAGAGAGTTCTGACAGAGAGACACAAACCTCAACATCCTTGCTGTATCTTTCCTTATGCATTACAGACCCACTCATAAGGAAGAGAAGCAGCTGACCACAGTGATAGCCCCCTACCCAGCTGGTCCCTTAACAATTCACACAAGTGCATTTGATGTCTTATATGAAAAAACAGGAGGGGCTGGAGGTGGGACACACAAGTGGAGCAAATCTGGAAAGTCATCTTTCTGGCTTTTAGGGCAAATCACACTGATTTGGGGCCATCCTTCACCACCACACCAGAAGCTCAAAGACCACCAGAACCTGTCCACAAGCTCTGATTTTCTATTAATTTTTTGAAAAGCCACAACCACCAACTTTAATGCTAAAGACAAGTTCCCTTATCCAACATGCAGTGCCAAGATAAAGTGCAAAAATCTACCAGAATCAAGAGCTAAAAATTTCTCTATCTGACTTGCCTTGAGGAGGAAACACTCACCTTCTAATGAGAAACACTCCACTTTTAATCAATTAGAAGATTTCTTCCAAATTAAGCTTATCAATTTACTTATTCTCTGAATAGAAAATTCATTGTTGCTAGCAGCCCAAGAATTTAAGTCCCACAAAAGAAGTAACAGTTAAAATAAATGGTAAAAGCCATGCAAAGATAAAGAGCATAACAACTACAACCATCCAGAGCGCACCAACCAGCTTAAAGGACTTAAATGTCACAAATGAAGACATACCACCATAAAAACCTGCTCTGGACAAAAACAAACAAACAAAAAGGCAAAATGGAGAGTAAGGAAGAAAGACTGGCTGTTTACATACCTGTTTTCAAAATCACTTCTTTTCAGATGCTAGGGAAAATCTGGGCTGAAGGGCATTGAAATCAAAGATACGAGCAGTTAGGCTCCAGTGTCTGGTGTCTGCTAGAGACCCCAGGGCCATAACGCACCACTTCAGAAGAGAGAAATGTTGCTGGTGGCTCTCTTATTAAAAAGGAGTTTATATTTCATTTTTTGAAGGTAAAATCATAGCAGCTCCAGGATCACCTTTTTATTGTTACTACATTTTGGTTAACGTTTGCCACTTGAAGTGTGCCTCGATTATAATCCGCAATGCCAATGATTCTTTGCTGCCACAATTCTCACAGATGGTTTACCTCCCATGGATGTCAGAGAAAGAGTTTAAATTTGTCATTTAAATCTGTACTGCTTGGGCACAGAAATTTTTTGTTTTACATATTAAAACATGAAAATCTGGAGGTAACACTGCATTTTTATAAAAATCAGGTTCCTCTTCATGTGGAACTTAAAAAGGTATCTTAAAAAGCTGTATTATTACAACCTTGATAATACCACCTCCTTACAATCCTGACTGTACAACCTGATTCCAGACGGGCAGCCCTCATATGATCTTGAATTTAAGCTGCAAGTATTATCACTTCTGTCATATTTGCTATAAATAAAACGGAACAATGTCAAAAGAAGGTACTCGGCACACAGACAGGGCTGGAATTTTAAGAGCTCTACAAAACCTGCACCAACGTTTGTATTAGAAAATACCAGCATGGATTTTATAAAGCAAGGATGCATAACTGCAAATATATATTTTTAAAGAATTTAAAAACAGTATTCTAAGAAAAAAAAAAAGTTAAAATGTTTAAAAAACTGAACAAAGGATTTTTCATCTGTTTATGGCCCTAAAGATAAAAGGCTCTAGAGAAAAATTAAAACAAACTCTAATGCCATTATACTTGCATTTTAATAATGAATTTTCTCTGCAGTGACTTGTGCCTATATTATTTGTCCTAGTTATTGCTTGTTTCCTCTATTATCTTAGGCTGCAAGCCCAATTTATTAAACATTTATATATTTAGCAGTTAAAAAGCATTAATTCACTGTCCCTTTAAGATGTGTTTGTTTCTCCTCAAACAGTTTCTAAAATTCCAGCACTAACTCAAGACTGTTTAAAAAATGGAGATAAGCCTCCCTCTCAATCAGACATTTAAAAACACAACACAAGAAAAAGAAAATTACAGGATGCTTCAAAAAGTAATCCTAGGACAGGATTTTAAAAATGCTCATTCAGAGGCATTCTCTAATTCTGTACAAGTCAGTGGCAAATTTGTCACCCGCTTCAGCCAGAGCAGAGACAGGGTTTTGATTATTTACGTAAAGCCGCTTCAGGCTGTCCTGCAATGGATTAGGAGTGTTTAAAGGCAATCCCTGGGTCTGAGCGGGAAAGGGAGGCTTGGCGGGGGGACACCCCAACTGGTTCAGCCCATTGGGAAGTGGATGGGAGATGATGCTTTTGGAGGAAAAGGAAGTGACTGTGAAAACCATGTTTATTAATGTACATCGCTGAATGCAACACTGAAATCTTAGGACACCTCTTCTTCTTTAACATGGGAACATCACATAGGTAAAGCCCAGCTGCCTAATGGCATCCCCACATTCGTGCAGGGCTTCCATTGCCTGTTGTTGCTGTCAGATGTCTGGAAGCACACTCCTAAATTAATTCCTAATTAAAACAACACTTCTCAGGTGGACTACAATAGCTTACCTCATCCACATTCTCAAAGGCATTGATGATGTCATACGGTAAACAGGACAGAAGATCAATCACAAACCACGTTTTCAGGTAGTTCATCCTTATGAGTTTGGGATCAGATATAACCTCTCCACCAGGGCCAACAAAGGTTGTATGAAAGTTCAAAACAATGTCAACGAGAAAAATAACGTCCACGACACTGTCCAGCACAAGCCAGGCAATGTTGTTCTGTTTCGTCTTGAAGGAGACATTATATGGAACCATAATTGCTGTGTAGAAGGTTAGAATTAAGATGACCCAGTCCCAAGTGGTCTTAAAAGCACAATAATGTAGTATAATGTGTGGTGGAGTCTTTGGAGCTTCTTGCTTGTACTGAGGAAGAATATCAGAACCCAGCTGGAGAACCTACAACAGACAGAAAAACAAATATTACTGGTTTCAATTAACATGAAACAATTAGGGGGTCTCACAGATCTCTGTAAGGAGAATCAAAAAGATGGGACTGTATTCATTGGATATTCCAAGTCAACCTACAGTTTCTAAATTATTTGGTTTATTAAGCCAGTGAGCTCACCGGCATGTAAGTCACATAAGAAAGAGTGGAGACAGATATAAGGAGAGCATATAAGGATAATCTTGCATAAAGGCAGATCTTTGCAGATGTACTCAGAGGAATCCATGCCCATAGTGAGAGCAGAAAGGCTCCATACCAACAGGTTGTGGGTACTGCTGCACTGTCTCATGCCCTGCAGTTATGAACATGAATATTCATTCACATTTGGAAGTTTTACAAGGTTAATTTCATGCTCGATCCCCATGTTAAACTGTTGTTTAGCCAAAGCAATACCTATCAAACCAGTCTTCAGCCTTGCTGGCTGACCTCCTTCTAAAAACGAAGTATTACGTGCACAACTTCTGCCCTAACTCCTTGGCAATACCATGCTTCCTTTCCATTTACTTCAAAATGCTGTTGCCCTTAAAAGCTCAGTATCACCAGTGGGTTCTCTTTTTTTCCTTTTAATTACTTTTTTTTTTTTTTTTTTTTTTTTTGCATATGACTGTAATCTCCTGCACACGCACTTTTGTAAAATGTGGAACTGGAAATGCTGCAAAGGAACCAAGCCAAATTCATTCAAGACATTCTTCCCAGCCAATCTAATTACCTCTTATCTCCGTCCACCACAAGAAACAAAAGCACAAAGGAACACACAGCACGGTAATATATTGCACTGACAACTGAAAGATTCATGTGCATTTTCAAACTAATAACACCTTTAAAATTTGGGGATTGAAGTACATAGAGAATAAAATAACTAATTTCAGCAACTTTAAAACTCATTTCAGCCCTATGATTGCCCCATACTGAAGCTGATGCGCCATATTTGCAGTACAGTTAGATTGTAAAGAGCAACCCTTTACATGCAAAGACAAACAAAAGCAGAATGCTTGCTCAATGAAGAGGAGTGAATGGCTGAATAAATAGCACAACAACTAAGAATACGAACTGAAGGATCACAGATATAGATTCTCCCTTAATTCTTTACAGTCTTATTTTTAAGATAAGAAAGCTGTTACTGAGATCAGACAGTAAAAGTCTGGCTCTACTGGAAGTCGAAGTCTGTTATTCAGAAATCACCAAGGGCCAACAACAGCAGCCTCTCTCACTCACTCCATGCTGGAGGATGGGGTTCCCACTATGTCTCCTCTGGCTCAGTGTCATTCTGTAACCTGATGTAATGCAAACGTGCTTCTGCCTACCTGTTCCCATCCTCCCTAATGTCAGATTTAACTATCACACACTGTAAGGAAAACGAGTTAAGCTGATACAATGAAAAATTAACTCATCCTTACATTAGTTAGCCATTTGTTTTCTATAGAATCGGCTGAGTTGAAGGTCAGAAAGCCACTCAACACAATACCTGAGAAGCAGTGAAAGAGCAGCAGAAACCTCCAGAAGACCATGGCTGTCCCCTTTGCCAGCAGCTTGGAATAACACAAAGCCATGTACTGCTGAGCTCTGGTGACCACCAATGCCCACCGAGCAGCCTGGTCCCAACGGCACTCACCAGAAACCATTACAGACACCAAACTCCTGGTGAGACCCCAAAAGGTGTCAGCATCCATGTTCTACTTCCCAAGTGCCCGGGACAATACCCACGTACAGCACTCCTGTAACTACCCACGAGGCAAGGTTCAAATGGCCATTGTGGCACAATGAACTTGCTCATGGATCAATGTGTCCTTCCCAGAATAAAAAAAAAAATGCCCAAAACGTTTGTTTTCTTTTCACAGTGGTCTCCTATGTGCAAGCCCATGAAACTTCTTCCAATGCCAAAATTATCCCCTGCATTTAACATACCATTTTGATTTTGAGACATAATCTGGTGAATATCTCCACTCATCTCTTCTTTTTGCACTCATCTGTGGACAAGACAGTTCTACACCTCACTGGCATGATACACTGGGACAGGATCTTCCATTCTGGGTATCTCCAGGTCTATTTTTTCCCTGTCCTGTTCACTGGGGCAGGAGCTAGAAACAGCCTCACAATAGCTGGAGTAATAAGTTTCTTAGGGCTCAAGCCGAATGCGATGAACATATGCTTGATAGTTCCCTACGCCTCTGGTGGTGAAGTGCTGAGACGATCCCATGGTACTGTAAAGGCATAATTATTATTCTTAACATAATATCATGCTGAGTTTGACATGGTGTGTGGGTGGCAAATGGCTGTGGAGACCACTGAACTATAATGATTATTTCTTTCATGCTGCATGAATTTTTAATTTTAAACCACTAAAGAATACACAATATCTTGTTAGTCAGCTGCATTCGTCACAGACCCTCTGAATTACTCTTGTATACAACTAACAAGCATGGCTAACAGTGGGTAAGTCTGGTAAAGCCGAGTGGTTTGTTCTGGCAGGGATGAGCTGGGATGAAAATGCTCCTCCTCAGACACAGGAGCATGGAAAATGGGCCTGGATGGAAATGGCACATGACCACCTCAGAAATGCACCCTACTCTGAATTCCTGACAGCACTTTGTCTCTGAAGCACTTTGCAGCTGTAAACAACTTGTAAGAGAGGAGATTGCATGCTCCCCAAAGAATCTGTCCCCAGCTACAACCTTATACTTCATCTGAGTTTGTCCTGCAGCCCAACCCACATCTTCCTTGCAGTGACTGAATTTCACTAGTTTTTTCCTCTAGCTACAGAGGAGATGGTGAACAATTTCCTTCCTCCTTCTGTGCAGCTGCTTTAGATATGATTGAATATTGCTGCCCTATCTTCTCCAGTCTTCTCTTCTCTAGACTAAACCATTAACAGATATAACTGGATTTACAGAACACTGAAATGCCATGAATCAGAAAAGCAAGAAGTGGGAGTAATTCAACAGTCAGCGAAGCTACTGGTATGGGATAATTCATGGAAAATGTCACAGTGCCAACACATGAAAACTGCAAGCTTCCATTCTGATTTCATTTTAAGTGGAGCTTATATTATAGATTGCCACTAAAACAAGAAAGGAAACGAAACAACAACAAAAACATTTAAAACTGCTGCCAGTTCTCAGCATCAGACTCAGGACAAGCTCTCTGGCACAAGGTAGCTAGGGTTGTCGTTTCTAGGAGCCTGTGTATACTGACCATATACTTTTGACCCGTATATTATTCATTACCCATGGACATGAAGATGAAAGCAGTACCTCTGTTTCATCAGTTAACCTGAAGGCATTCACTTGTTGCACCATCTGCACTGTTAAGGAGATGTTTGCAACCTGCCAAAGAGTTTATTCCATCAGTTCTGAAGAAGAAAATGATGAGCAAAACACTTCAGGAATGACTTTTGCAAGGAAGTGGAGGTTAAGGTCTATGTGTAGTCATTGTGCCTGTACAGCCCCAGGGACCCAGGCAGGGATACTTCTAAAGAAGAGCACCTGGCTTCTCAAAAAACCCATCCATGATCTCAGCAACCATCCACAGGGCTCGGAACATCGAGCCTGGTTCCAGGTCTCTATGAGACAGCAGGTAGAGGAGCCAACCAGGCACCCCAAGTTAAGCAGCAATGACAAAACTGAGACTTGCATGCGGAAATGGGGCCATGTGACTGTTTCCATGACTGAAAGAGCATGGCCTGTCCTGGAAACATGTTTTTGGCACACAGTGCTTATTAGGAAAGAGCTAAGGAGAGGTTGAAAAAGTCAGAGAAATGGCAACATGTCACCCTAAAAATAATATTTATTGATGTGAAGGTTGGTGTGTGTGTCCCCCCCATATCTATTTGTGCCTTACCAAGGGCTGGTGCCTGCTGTCCCACTTACCTCGGCCAGGCGGGAGTGTTTGTGCACCACCTCGGCTTTGTTCATCGGCGTCAGCTGCTGCAGGACGCTCCGGCTGTTCGTCAGGGCCCGTGTCAGCCGCGCAAACTTCGTCCAACCTGTAGGGAAGGAGGAAACCGCGTCAGAAGCACTTACTGCCTATTCACCGCCAGTAAATCTCTTTCGTGTTCACTGGTATTAAGTCTCAGGCTTGAGTCGCTTCTCCAAATTACTGCACAGAACAAGTTCTGGCTCCAGGCTCAAAGGTGTTGCAATAGAGGAAAAATACCACTGCTTTAAGGCAACCAGCAGCAAATCGGAGTAAAATCAAAATGCTCTGGCTTGTCCTTTCTTCTGGCTTTGGGAGACATTGTGTTAGAGGATCACATTGTGCTTTCAGCCTCCTGGGGAGATACTCTGATGCTAAAAAGTAATTCTGAACCGCTGAAGTTAACACAAAGGCTTCCCGTGTCTACAAACCCTCCTGAAGTGAAATCCTGGCCAGCTACAGAAAGGCTCTGGCTGATTCAGCACTGCTGGAGCAGGCCCGAAAGTCAGATCCTTAAGTTTTTACTGCTCCTTGCTCTAACTACAATTCAGGGAAATAGAAACTAAAAAAAAAAAAAAAAAAAAAGAAAAATCAGCAAAACACATCAACAACCATGTTTCAAACTAAAATAATTGGAAGACTTTACAGACAGATTAAGCACTGGATTTTAAATGGCATTAAGCAATACATTTAGCTGTTAAACTAATGACCGACAGCTGCCCACATGGTAGATTGAGACCCACACTCTTGGCCAGCCCTGGGGAATGCTTCTTTGCTGCATTCAGAAAGGAGCAGTCGGGATTTTGATGGTGACAGCAGTGCAGAGCTGGGAACGTGACATTAAGCCACTGCTTTTGGAACAATGCCCATAGGTGACAGCTGGTATGGCTGCGTCATGGGATGAGGTAGAGCAGAGGTAGCAAAGAAAAAAAAGAAGCAGTGAGGGTATTCACTGGGGTAGCACCGCAAAGGAAGAGAATTAAAAATTCAAATGTTTGCAGGAAAGAAACACCTCCACTTGAGCACTCAAGTAGATTTGACTTCACGTCTTTAATCCTTGTTGTGACATAACTTTGTTTTATTGTGGCACTGCCCGCAATCCCACCTGCTCAATGTTCAGTACAGCCAGGTATAGACTGCTGTTTTACTATAGAGGCGTGCGTAAAATATCAAACGAGTCATGGACAGGAAATGTGTTCAGGTGCAGGTTATATTTTTACCTAACTTGAATGCTGAAAAGGTGAAAAAATAGAACAAATGTCACATCTGAGAAAGGAAACACAACATTTCTACGTTAGCTTGGTTTATTTTTAAATACATGTTATCTGATAGGAGTTGGGGACTAGAAAAGCTAAAGGAAGCCCTGAGGCAGATAAAACAAAAAGAGCAAAGACCAGTCCAGGCAATAAAACTTCAAGAAAAAAAAAAATCACTTACCGCTTGACCTGGCAATACACCACTTATATATCACATTCACCCAAATGTAAATCCATTGTTCATCATTTAGCAATCAGAACAGATCTCAATATCCCAATACACTACCAGCACAGCACAAACCATGTGTGCCTGGTTATTTATGTATGACCTCAAAAATACACATAAAAATGCACTGCAAAAAGATAAAATATAGAAGCGTTTTTATTAACTTTTCAAATCTAAACCTTAAATGGGAACTTCAGCTTTGTCTCATCCATCTCAAGCTTACAGGAATATTCAATTAGGAATATGCACTTTCTGTATTAAATGATATCAAGAGACTACAGTGATCCAAGTAGGAACTATTAACTTCTAGACATTTTTTCCTAGTTATCTATAAAGCCACATCAGGGTGAAGTTCCAAACGCTTTCAGCATCCTGAAAAAAAGAGCACCCAGAAAAAAAAAAGAGAAACTCTCCTCCAGAAAGCACTCATCCACCTCCAAACCCTGGGCAGGTGCCTCAACACACAGCATCCTCTTCCCCTAGAAAGAGGCTTCTCTGGGGTCCATGGGGGTGATTAAGGCCAGTCTCTGAGCTTCTGTTTGTCACTCTGCACCACACAGCTGATATGAGAAGGATGGAAAGGCGCTCAGCAAAGCCAAAACCACCACAGCCAAGATGTTGGAGTCAGTCCCAAACACCCTTCTTTGTCACATCAAATTCACTCTTCTGACCTTCCTGATGGCAGACAGCTAATGAGGTTTACTTTATTTTCTGAGGTTAGGGTATTGATCAATGCAGTGATTAGATGAGGATTAGAAGAGTCTGGGGCTGGCAATGATAGGAGATGATCCTTCTTACTGTCTTGCTTCCCTTTCCCATGGCACTTTAAAGGCTTAGAGATTTCATTCATAAAAACATGGATGTTTAAAATGCTTCTCCTGTTATAAAAGCAAAAATAGTAAGAAAGCCCTTGTCATCATCTTAGGTAAGAATACCTTTCTGACATTTACCACAAGCATAGAAATCCAGGGAAAGTTGCGAAAGATGTTGAAGACACAAAGTGAAGAAGCAATGTAAGACGGGCAGCACACAACAGTGACCCGTCTGCTGTAAAAATAAAAAGTAAGGGTGAACTGTGACTTTTTCAAATACTTCTTTTCCACCTTGGTGAGATCACACGAAAGAAGAGAGCCACATAATTTAGCATTCAGGATTATCACTCCGGTTATTTGGCCTGACCTGTTCTTTTAAGGGCACAAACTATTTCATTGTGTCCTTGCTCCACCAAGAGCAAAGCTTTGCATTGAACTAGCTCACACCTTTCACAAAAACCCTTGCAGCCTCATTTTTACATTTCTTTCTGTCCCATGAAGGCCGTGATACTGGAAATTGTAAGTGCATAATACATTAACATTACTTTTTTTTTCCGTTAAAAAAAAAAAAAGGGCCTTTGTCCTTCAGCACAAAGTCCATCATTATTCTACCCTATCTAACCAATTCATCTGCAATAGTGTGAAAAAGTACCAAGTTCTTTTGTTTCCTATTTACAACCCAACAGAAAAACAAAGCAACAGCAAGATGCTAGGGTATGAGTGGGAAGGTGAAAATGTATACAGGCTGCCTTGTGTCTGAAATAATTCGTAGAGGGTACATTTCTGCATTCCTTGACCTTGTTATAGACTTGCTAAAATCAGAATTATATTTAAAACCTATTTGTATGTTTAAATAGACTAGGCAAAATTTGCACTGCTGCCTAATGCTGTCAATGTTTCTTCAAATGATTCCTTTCTTTCTTTTTCTCTATAAATTCTTAAAATGATTGATAATTCTATCATGTGTATTAGTGACCTCCTGTCCTCACAGGTATTTTCAGTCTGGAAGGAGTAAAGGAATGGCACAAACAGCAGGTGCAAGATGGAAGAAAACCTACTCGCAACAAAAAGCAACACTTCTGATGCTCTCTTCAGCTCATCTGGACTGTGTCTTTCTTCTGTGGTTCCACTTGAAAAATAGTACCCTCAACTTGCACTGTCACTCTCAAATTCTCAGGAACAAAGGCAACATGGCACCAGATCCCACCAGCAGCTGCTTTCAAAGAAGCCAAACTGGGTATTTCAGAGGAAGATGTGAACTACCAAGATGGCAAATGCTGGAATAATGTATACAAAAAATGATTGTTTCCCCTGATTCTCTTTGATTAATTGACAAAAACAGAACTTTTATTCCTGCTTTTAAGAAACCTCATGATCTCCATTCATTCTTATGATTCAAAACAAAGGTCAGTTCTTAAATGGAAACCTACCAAAATAATTCACCAGTCCTACCCATTACTAACATTGAAATTCTTGCATTCTCAAGAATGCAAAGATTCAGGTTTAACAACTCCATACAGTTATTAAAACAGGACGTGAGCAAGACAAGCATGCTGATAAACAAGAACTAAACTAGTTTCTGCCTTTGCCCTGCTGTAGTGTTGCTCTTCCAAGCATGTAACTTTCTTTCCTCCTCCCTGGTTTTAGTCACAATTCAATGTTTTACATCAGCAAAATATTCTCCATGTCTTTTGCTCTAATTAGGACCGCTAATTTGACAGTCCTCTGAGTGTGGAGCTAAATACGGCAGGGATGGTTTGTTGTTGTCCCTCAGATAACGGCTGAGCCAAAGATTTCTCAGAAGGGAAAAAAAAAAGAACATTTTTTTAATTGGTATTTCTTTTTAACCTTAGCTACTATGACAGAAACTGACACTGTTAATACTGTGCCAGAATGCTTGAGGGAGAGCAGAATCACACGAGGGGGTAGGCACTAGTCAAGCAAGGCAGAGAACCCAAGCACCTCCTGGCCTTGGAGGGCGAAAAGCTTTCCAGATAGGTCCAGGATGCTCACTTGGCCACTCATGTACATAGATGCACACACTACTTCAGAACTGATGTAGAGACTAAGTGGGAAACAGTATTTCAGGCCTTCTTGTTAACAACCCCGTAAGCAAGGATGATACCTTGGAGAGAGGTAATGGAAGGTTACCACCTTAGAACTTGAGCCCATGGCCCTTCCACAGTTGGAAACTCCAAACTATCTTAACTGAAACTTCTTACTAATTATAGCATGTGCCATTCCATCAGCTACTACTCCAACAAGAGTAGTATTATGCTTACACATCTTTCTTCCTGAGATCCTGAATCAAACTATCAAACTTTTTTTTTTTTTTTTTTTTTTTAATTATTATTTTGGACAGCTGGGATGGGAACAGCTCCGTGGCAGCTGCTCTACTACACATCCATACTCACTGCTTAATCTGCATTCAGGGACATTCTGTGAACTACACCCTTGCACTGCCGTAGGGACCTCTATTCCTGCCCTTTTGGTCACCAATCTTCTTCCCATTAGCAGACCACACAGATGCATCCAGTATACAAATATTCTCCTCCATCTGCAACACCTGCTCCTCTTTTCTGCTGCCTTCTCTGAGACAGAAGAAACATCATCCAGGTTGAAGATGCTGTTGCAACATATAGCAAAGCAAAAAAAAGGACTAGGATAAAAGCTGTCCAAAGAGAGCACAATAAGGGAGGCTTCCCATTCTCCTTTCAAACAACATGCCTCCTGAGAGAAGCACCAGCCTTCCTTTTACACATTTCTTCAGAAGCGA